TTCCCACCTGGAATGTTTTGGGCAGGTCCTGCTGCCATTCCCACCTGGAATCTCTATGGGCAGGTCCTGCTGCCATTCCCACCTGGAATGTTTTGAGCAGGTCCTGCTGCCCATTCCCAGCTGGAATCCCTTTGGGCAGGTCCTGCTGCCATTCCCACCTGGAATGTTTTGAGCAGATCCTGCTGCCCATTCCCACCTGGAATGTTTTGAGCAGATCCTGCTGCCCATTCCCACCTGGAATCCCTGTGGGCAGGTCCTGCTCCCCATTCCCAGCTGGAATCCCTTTGGGCAGGTCCTGCTGCCCATTCCCACCTGGAATGTTTTGGGCAGGTCCTGCTGCCATTCCCATCTGGAATCTCTATGGGAGGTCCTGCTGCCATTCCCACCTGGAATGTTTTGAGCAGGTCCTGCTGCCATTCCCACCTGGAATCCCTTTGAGCAGGTCCTGCTGCCCATTCCCAGCTGGAATGCTTTGAGAGGTCCTGCTCCCCATTCCCACCTGGAATCCCTTTGGGAGGTCCTGCTGTCATTCCCAGCTGGAATCCCTGTGGGCAGATCCTGCTGCCATTCCCACCTGGAATCTCTTTGGGAAGGTCCTGCTGCCATTCCCACCTGGAATGTTTTGAGCAGGTCCTGCTGCCCATTCCCACCTGGAATCCCTGTGGGCAGGTCCTGCTGCCCATTCCCACCTGGAATCCCTTTGGGCAGATCCTGCTGCCCATTCCCACCTGGAATGTTTTGGGCAGATCCTGCTGCCCATTCCCACCTGGAATGTTTTGGGCAGGTCCTGCTGCCCATTCCCACCTGGAATCTCTTTGGGCAGGTCCTGCTGCCATTCCCACCTGGAATCCCTTTGGGCAGATCCTGCTGCCCATTCCCACCTGGAATCCCTTTGGGAGGTCCTGCTCCCCATTCCCACCTGGAATCTCTTTGGGCAGGTCCTGCTGCCATTCCCACCTGGAATCTCTTTGGGCAGGTCCTGCTGCCATTCCCACCTGGAATCCCTTTGGGCAGGTCCTGCTGCCATTCCCACCTGGAATGTTTTGGGCAGGTCCTGCTGCCATTCCCACCTGGAATCCCTTTGG